TTTATGAAGTGTTTGTTTAACAAACCTTTATTGATTTGTATTTTTTAATTTTGTCATTTAATACATACACAGAGTAGTTTTGATTGTTGAATTGATTGCTCTTATTCAGAAAATAAAGTTATTTATTGTCCAATCAGACAAAAAGTCTTTCCATCCAAAGTCCCAGGCTAACGTTCAACCCCTCTGTTCCCCCATCAACATGCTCCCAGTAAATAAAGCCATGCATCTGATAGGCTTAAAAAAATCATTTTTATTATGTCTGATGTGGCTCAACCTTATCTCTTTGAACTTTTGCATCCTCAGTAAAACCAGAACAAATGAAGCTGCCTGGTAAATCAAAAACATTTACAGGAACAGAACAAAGAAATTATGACTGAGCAATAACTGTCTGGTACACCCAACATTTTTTCTGGTGAACTGTTACTTCTAAAAAGATGTCCAAAAAGCTGTGGTGCTGAGTGCAGATGGGCATGTTAATAGATGCATTAACCTTTAATCATTACACTCCAACACTGCAGACGCCCTTTCTTGGTGCTATAAAAGGAAGCAGCCTGCCGTTTGCCTCTCCAGGATTCTCTTCAACATCCATCACTGCAGAGAAACTCCATCAAGATCTTCAGATCCCTCCATATCAGAGGCATCGAGCTCCAAGATGATGTGGTTCCTCTTCCTGTTTGGTCTGGCTCTGGCTGCTGAGCCTCCTTCAGATGGACAGGAACTGAAGCTGGTGCGTGGCGGCTGTCCCTTGTTCTGGTTCAGCTTTGAGGGTCGCTGCTACAAGTACTTTGGGTCAAGAGTGACCTGGGGAGAAGCAGAGCTCCAATGTGTGTCAGAGGGAGCCAACCTGGTTTCCATCCACAGTCTAAATGAACACAATTTTGTCAATTTTCTGATCAAGAACTTTGATCCTACTCGGTCACAGACCTGGATTGGACTCACTGATATGCATAAGGAAGGAGGGTGGATTTGGTCCGATGGGTCTAAATACAGATTTTCCCTTTGGAGTCCTGGACAGCCTGACAATGATAGTGGAAATGAACACTGTGGACACACCAACTATGGGAGCAATTTTTACTGGAACGAACGCGTGTGCTCAAATACATTTGCTTTTGTGTGTGCAGCTCGCACAGTTTGTCCCTAGTGACAAAAAAATTTAAAGAAAAAAAATATAACTGTGTTGCATTTCTTGATGATTGTTCTGTTTAAATTAAACTTTTTTCCCCCAACAAAACCCAATGGAAAAGACATATCTCTGGAAATGTGATTGTTTTTCTTATAACTGTCTAGATTGTATGTACTCTCATACAACCATCAATGCAAAATACATCTTTGTGATAAAACACTGTAAAATCTTTTCTCTGTGTGGTTCTTATTGGAGAGAATATAACAATGTTTTAGGTATTTTAATAGGGCTGTTTCTAGAACCAGCAGAGGTTTATCCCACTAATTCATCGATGAGCAGAATGATGTTGCCTATTTTTATACTATATTTTCCCCCTATATCAGCACTGGTGTGGAGACGGGCAGAAAAAAGAACTGAAGCAATAACAATAATCATTATGCAAAAAATACTTCTTGCTAGCATTTTACATAATTAAAAAAATGCATCTTTCATTTTGGTGTTTGATTATCTTCATTCTACTCATGACAGATGGGGGTTGATCACAAGTTGAGTTTAGTCTGTGGAATATGTAGAGCCAGAGCCAGGCACTGTCTACAAAATGCTGACTAAATAGCATTTATTTCACTTCACTTGAACTGTTTTAGGGGGAAAAAATGTTCTAAAACAATTATTTTTGATTGGCGGTATTTCTTATGGACCTGTTGCTTTGATTGAAAATATAGGAGCAAATTAAATAGTATCATTAAAATGCACTTTGAATGTTACTAAAGGATAGCAGTGTGTTATTTATTATCATTTGCTTA